AATCTAGTTGAGTTTTATTAAAGAAATAGTGTATAGCGTTTATAGTATGATTATATTAAACGTGTTTTCATTAATTATGTTTCTATTAACATTGTTCTATATGTTAGACAAGTAAAATTAAAATAAATAAAGTTTTAATTTATTATTAGTGTTATTTTTATAATACGATGTGCTACACTTTTTAGCTAAATATGATTGGATTACAACTTTATTTGGGGATTAATTATTTTTTGAAATAAAAATAGTTAGTGTATTTGGCTAATCTAAATCATTTTTTATAATTAAATAAAAATATAAAGCATGTTAAATCAGTAACTTTTAATTCAAAATTTACTTTTTTAGTTTCGGATCATTTTAAAATTATTTTGATGTACAAAATGTGATGTAGGATTATTATTTTTGTTTGATCGAGACGCATGATATTATTTAAGTCCAATTTTTCTTTCAATTAAGATTAATAAAAATTATTATTTCATTTGTCTTGTTATTTTTGTTACAAAAATTAGTGACAAACAACTAGAAAAAATAAGAAATTATAGATTGATATTGATGTTAAAAAATAAAGAAAAAGTGTGAATCAAAAAAAATTTACAAATATGATTTAGGATAAAATATAATGGCATAAAAAAAAGAGATTAAAACTTTTAAAAGTAGAGTGTATTTTTAAATAAAATATGGAGTATGCAATTTATAAAATAAAAAAATTATTTGAATTTTTTTAAAACTCTTTCAAAAATTTTCTAACTCCTCGTTTCTTCCAACTTCTTCCAGTTTTCTCCAACTCCTTCCAGTTTCTTTCAACCCATTCAAGTTTCTTCCAACTTTTTCTAGTTTCTTCCATCTCCATCTAGTTTTTTTTCAACTCTTTAGTTTCTTCCAACATAGAAGGTTCAATTTTTAGCAGAAGTCGATCTTCCTAAAAAAAGGTCAGTTTTCTCCGATTCTCATGTCTCTCGAGGAGTGGACGAAAAAAATTAGCTAATTTTTCTAATTAGGCGAAAATTTTTATAGGTCTGAAAGTCTTCTTGATTCAATTTAAAAATAAAAAATAAACTGCATTACTAAACGCAATTTAAGAAAAGAAAATAAATAGTATAGATATAGGACTAGCTAGACTTTGAGCCAAGAAATTATTTATGTTAATTACTACCATTGTCACATATTCAATCAAAAATTGGAAGAATACTATTTATGTCACAAATATTTCATTAACTTATCTTCTCTCAAGATTATACTCCCTCCATCCAGAAATATTCTTCCCATTTGACTTTTCTTGGCCAAAGTTTGTAAACTTTGACTATGATTTGTGGAAAAAATATATTGTATTACGATATAAATTTAATATGAATATATTTATTTTGAAATATAGTTTTCAAATATCAAATTTTTATAAAATACATCCATCTATAAATAAAGATATTAGTGGTCAAAGTGCAATCTTGGAGACCGTAAAATGTCAAATGGGAAGAATATTTCCGAACGGAGGGAATATTAATGTGTTTTAAAAAGTTTGGCTTATTTAATTTTATATCCTCATAGACGAGGTAAAAATTAATTTCTAACAATTAATTAATTTTTCTCTCGACATAATTAATTAATTTAACAATAAAAATAATTTGAGAACAATAATTCTAACTATTAAATTAACATACAGAGTATATGCCCAATTTTAGCAACACTCTATTATGGGCCATTACTCATACTAAATATTAACAGAACATGGGAAAAGAAAATTTTTATTAAAACGTTGTAAATAAAAACTTACAATCAGAGCAGAGCAGGGCCTCTTCAGGACAACCGGAAGTCTGAAACTAAACTATACTAAAATATTAAAATATAACACGAAACTAGAGCTAAAAAGGAGGTTCGAGCCGTGGATTTTGCCGATTCTGCTCCTTAAAAAGGGAGGAGATTTTCCGGAGAGGGTCCCCAGGGCGCACGCTCAGTAGGTCGCCCATGCGGGCCCACCCACAAATTTCAGCTTCAAATTTCTATAGTGAGTTCTACATTTTATGTCGAACATTTTCTCCTTCTTTGGTTCTTGGCAAATTTGAGCCAATTTTGCAGAAAGAATTATTTCCACCGCAAGTTTTCATTTTTGCACTTTTTATATCGCTTTTGACTCAACTTTAATCATTATACAACAAGGCATGACTTTTGTAATTTTTTACAATTATGAACAAAATATATAAAAACCAGTGAGAACTTATCGTGGTTGATCCAAAAGTGGACAATGACATATTAAATATAGAGAAGATAAGTGCGTAGAAAACAAACTTAACAAATTTGGATCAATTTCTTTTCTTCTTGGACTATTTTGAGAAATCGCTCTCTCGACTGGATTGTGTCTTTGTTTGTTTATATTTGCCATTCGCAAGTGAGAGAGTAATCACGACAATAAGGTGGCTAAAATGTTGAGCACTCCACCGCTAATCCTAGGTCAAGATTACATATTTTTCCTCAATTCACAGAATTTCTTCAACGCAAGGATCTGGATGGTCATTGTGCATCGCCCCTTGCTGGTCGTAATCATCTTGATCACCATGAAGTTCATAATAGTCACCATAGTTGTCTTGGTATGAAGAATATCCAAAGCTTCGAGAAGGAGTGTCGTATGGTGGCTCCTCGTGGTATGGATAACAGTGAGACCCATTATGAACTTGGTAGTCATTATAATAGGAGTCATGATGTGGATAATATGGTGGTGGTGATGGTGGATAGTAGTTGGACTGTTGTAGGTAGTATGGTGGGCGGTTGAGTAATTGGTAGAAAGGAGGCAGATCATAGTAATCTTCTTAAAAATTCAATTTTAATGACTACCACGGGTGGTTGGTGGAAAGAAGTGAAAAGATCGACATAACCGGTCTTTACTCAAGGTAATTAAAAAATTAGACTAATACCGTGCCAGTCCTAGGCAATGACACCATTTGACGATTGAGTTTTTAGTGGAAGTCAACCTTTCCAAAAAAAGGTCAGTTTTCTCTAAGTATCGTGTCTCTCGAGGAGTGGACGAAGAAAATTATCTAATTTTTCAAATTAGGCGAATGTTTGGATGGGTTTGAGAGTCTTCTCGATTCGATTTGAAAATAAAAAATAAACTACACTACTGCTGAACGTTTTTTCATATAAAAAAATTGTATAGGTATATGACTAGACTTTGGGCTAAGACATTATCTATGTTAATTATTGTTGTCACATATTTAATCAATAATTAGAATAATTATATTTCTATCACAAATCTTTTATTAGCTTATCCTCTCTCAAGGTGACATTAATGTGTTCTAAAAAGTTTGGCTTAATTAATTTTATATCCTCATAAACAAGGTAAAAATTTGCCCTAAATAGCACTAAAACTTAAGTCATTTCTCTAAATAGCACTTAAATGGTTTTATTCCATAAATAGCACTTAATAATGTCCATAATGTCCAGTGTTGGCGAATATATATACTTGAATAATGACTCATGCATAATGACTAAGGGTCCGTTCCGTAGGATTTATTTTTTCTACTTATTACTTAATCTTATTAAAATCAGAACAGATTCAATCAGATCAGATCAAATCCAATCAGATCAGACCAGATTCAATCAGATCAGATCGAAACCAATCAGATCAGAACAAATCAGATCAGACCAGATTCAATCAGATCAGACCAGATCAAATCCAATAATATCAAATCAAGAAAAAAATATAAAAGATAATATTTATATTTTCAAGGATTAAATAATAATAACTATTATTTGATTAAATCACATTACTTTATTTAAAACTACACACACCTAAATCTTAATTAATATTATAATTTTAAATATTATTCTTGTAATATTATTATTATTATTATTATTATTATTATTATTATTATTATTATTATTATTATTATTATTATTATATTTCAACTACAAACCATTATTTTATATAATTTTTTAACTTGTAGGATAGAAATGATTCATGGAAGCAATGTCAAAGCTTAAAAAATACTCCCTCCGTCCAACAATAAAGTTCCCGTTCACTATTCACAGGGTCAAACTTTATTCACTTTGTTGGCCTATTTTGGTGTCTTATATGATAAAATAATATAGTCATGTCACCTCTAGTTTTGTAGATCTTTTCATGTAGTTTTTAAATATGTAATTTTTATTTTTTAATTCCATGCCATTTTTCATATAAAATGATTTGAAAAAAATTTCAGTCAAACATCGTAACGCGCAATGGGAACTTTATTTGTGGACGGAGGGAGTATTATTTTTCATACTTTAAAAAGAGTTATTTTAAAATACTTGTTTATAAAATAATTATACAAAACTTAATTTTCAAAACTATAAATATTTTATACTTAAAAAGACTTACTTTTAAACTTTAAGATGGTATAATATATACTCAAGGATGAGTTTATGACAAAATTGATAGAGGTGAAAGGGATAATAGTGTTTAAAAAAGTTTAAACATATTAATGATTAGCTACTTTTCTTATTTTACTTTTTTTATGTATATATGAATTGTAATATTTTAAAACTATTAAATTTTGTAATAATTTTAAGTTTAATTTAATTCAGATTTAAATTCATTTACACCGGATCTAATTAGAGAAAATCAGATCTAACCAGATCAGCTCAAATCAGATTCAATCAGATCAGATCAGACCTAATCAGATCAGATCAGACCCAATCAGATCAGATCAGACCCAATCAGATCAGATCAAACCCAATCAGATCAGATCAGACCCAATCAGATCAGATCAGATCCAATTAGATTAGATCAGACACAATCAGATCAAATCAGACCCAATCAGATTAAATCAGAACTTCAAAAATTCAGATCAGATTCAATCAGATCAGGCGTACGAAACAGAGCCTAAAAGTGCTACATTGGGAAGAAAAACACATGTTGTCATATTTAGGGAAAGTCATTATGCTTTACTGCTAAAAATTCCTCTAATTTCTAATACTCAACAATTTTTCTCTCGACATAACTCAACAACAAGTACAACAACAACCTAGTTGAATCCCACAACAGTAGGGTCTGGGGAGGGTGTGTACGCAGACCTTGCCCCTACTCGGAAGTAGGGAGGCTGTTTCCAAGAGACCCCCGGCTCCACCTGCACAAAAATATGGAAGGGAACACAATATAACACAGATAGAGCAACAATTAAGTACAAGCAATAGCAAAAGATTCCAAACAAATACAACACACTACAAAACAACCTCTACAACACCGAACTCCTATCCAGCTACTCTAATCCTAGTTTTCCAAAGGTTCCTATCTAAGGCCATATCCTCAGTCAGGTCGAGAAGTCCTAAATACTGCCTAATCACCTCCTTCCAATTCTTCATAGGTCTACCCCTTCCCCTACTTCCCCCAATAACCGTAATCCTCTCGCATCTCCGTACAGGAGCGTCAGCATCTCGCCGTCTCACATGGCCAAACCATCTCAACCTCGCTTTCCGCAACTTATCTTCCACTGGTGCCATGCCTACCTGACATGGGATGACTTCGTTCGAAATTCTATCCAACCTTGTCTTCCCACACATCTATCGTAAAAAATGGAAGAGATTTAAAGGAAAGAAGGAATTAAACAAAAATAAAGCATGAAACATCCCTAGGTTTCGAACTAGGGACTTCAAAGTAATGGAACTAGAGCTTTGACCATTGCGCCACAACACATTTAACGGCCCTTGGTCTCTCGACATAACTCATTTAACAAAAATATTTCTAGAATAATTATTCCAAATATTAAATAAACATACAAAGTATATGCCCAAATTTAACCCAGACCCTAATATGCGCCCTACTCCATACTAAATATTAACAGAAAATGAAAAAAGAAAACATTTTATTAAAAAGTTATAAATAAAAACTTACAGTTAGAGTAGAGTTGAGGTGTCTTCAATACAACCGGAAAAAAACTATACTAAAATTTTAAAATATAATTGGAGACTATAGCTAGAATGGAGGTCTGGGCCGTAGAAGACCCAGAGTGGAGAGATGATGGTGAAAATGGCCAATTCTGCACCTTAAATAGGCAGGAGATTTTCCGGAGCGGGTCTCCGGGGTGCGCACCCGACAGGTCGCTCGAGCCCACATACGAATTTCAGCTTCGAATTTCTGTGGTGAGTTCTACATTTTGTGCTGAACATTTTTTTCTTCTGTAGTTTCTTCTTCTTTCTATTGATGAAAAAAGAAGAGAGAAAAATATTTTCTTTTCCTTTCCTTCCGATATCCACAAACCAAACATTGCGTATGGTCATTTCATAAAATCAGAAAATGAAATTTGTTTTAAATTTTATCAAAATATATGTATGTGAAGTTAAATTACGGAGTATTACCTTATTAGTTTCACACACAAGAAGTATTTTATTATTGGACATTCAAAACACACAATGTAATTTAGAGCACACATATGGGTACAAATTATTCAACCAAATTAAAGAAACACCTCAATGAGGGACCAAATGCCAAAAACATGGCTTATATGATAACCACTAAACCCAGCTTCAATAAACATTCTTTCCCATTCCTTCTCAGTTCTTTCCCTGGCATTAAGATAAACCATCATCAACACATCGAACATAAACTTCATTTCTGTTATCGCGCCGCCGTCTTCTTTCCCTTTTTCGTCCATAACAATGTCGATGATAATCACCTTCCCTTTAATTACTCCATTATTTGATGTTATTGCTTCTTTGCATTTCTTTAGTATCTTGAGACAATTCTCATCACTCCAATTATGCATAATATGCTTCATAACATTTAGCAAACGGTAAATTAAAGGGTAAATTAAATCAATTTATGGTTGTGTTTGGTTATGGGTAAAATTACGAGTTGCTTAATTAACGTTCTTACTATTAGTGCGCGAAATATAAGAGGATTGCTAAAGTAGTAGCTTAAACTAAAGTGGCAGCGTTGGGGACCGACCACTTAAGATATACAAAATGTGTGTGTATCTTAAATTCTCCCATCAAAAGGTGGAGCACCCACCCCGAGCATCCCCACGTCTCGCCCCGAGAGGAATATAATGTGTGTATCTTAAGCTCTGCCATTAAAGATGCTCTTAAAGAGCATGCTTAGTGAGAATTGCTTAATTATGAAAGTTTTTAAGAACATATTTAGTTGGAGTTGCTTATGGGGCATAACTAAGGTACAGTTTCTTCCCTAAGCAACTCCTTTGATAAATGAAGAAGCTCCACATGTATAAAATATGGAGTAGATAATGTAGTGCTATGTATACTTTATCTATTCTAGTGTATTTGTTCACTTTAATCTTTTCAATTAAAGATGATTAAACTTTAAAATTCAACCAAATAAAAAAAACTATAATGTATATTAGTATAAAAATGGTTTTATTGGTTTATCTGGTTGAAGACTCAAAATTTTATTTCATTATATTAATTTATTATAAAAATTGAGAGTAATTGAAACTCAAAATCTATCTAGTTTGCCTTGAAAAAGTTAAACTAGACAAATATAGAAAGAAATAACTCTAGATGAGGATGAGGTGTATCTTTTTCTTTCAATCATCATTGTAAATATTTCTAGAGGAGCATAATTCAACAAATTGGTAGAGAAGTGGATATGGGGCTGGGCTTGTCTTTTCTATTTTTGTTACCATACATTGTCCCACCCAGGCACCCACGTACCATAATTGGACAACCACACAGGGATATGTGGCAATATCATGCCTTCCCAAATTAGTGTTTTTGGAATCACACTATCATGTCTTTTTTTCTAGTTTTGATACTTCCTTCGGCTTGAAGATTTACTAAATTTTTTTTAGTCAAACTAGTAAACTTTGATCATAAATTAATAAAATAATATTTGATATTGATAGATACAAAAAATATTTTTAAAAATTATTTATTATTAAATATATTAATATATTATTTTATATAAATAATATACGATATACGTAATATATTTTATTTAAATTATAAGTTAAATATTGAAAATGAATGGCTATAAAATGTCAAAACTCGACAAATATTCAAAAATTGAAGTTGTATTGATTGCTTCCATCTCACTCCAATTTTGGGCTTTTGGAGTGCAGTCCTAAATCCTAATTGTGGGGGAAATAATTAGGAAGTACTTCGGTCTCAACATTTTTGGAACATAAGAAAGTAGAATGAACATTAAGAAAAAGAAAAAGAAAAATAAGTTTGAAATTTAAAATAATTTTTCTATTTCTTATAAAATTGGGCAAAATCAAGCAAAAAAAAATTATTTATGAAAGGGATGAGTACCTTCAAAATAATGGCATCAGAAGATGGGATAGAGTCAAACATGTCCCCTCCGACAAACCGCAGATTATCCGACGGCGGCTGGAGGCCGGCGACGACGTGAGGGAGATCAAACACGGTGCACTCCAAGCCGGGAAACGCCTCCACCACAAGCTTGGCGAACATCCCGGTGCCCCCTCCGACGTCCGTCACCGTCGCCAGGCCTTCAAACACCGGCCCACAGTCGCCGAGGCCCAACCCCTGCATCTCGGAGTTGCACAACATGGCCTCGTTGAAGGCGTTGTTGAGGCGGGGATCCTCGCCGCAGAGCTTCCACAGCGGAACCCCGCCGTGGGCCATCTCAAACGGCGTCACCTCCTCGCCGGCGTTTCCAGAAAACCAGTCGCCCAAGAACTGGAACGGCGTCATTAAGTCCGGTTCTGTGTGGACCCGGACGAAAGGCGAAAGATTTGGGACTTGGCCCTTTACCAATAGTCTCGAAGACGCCGTGAGAACGTACCCTTTTTCTTCTTCTTCTCGGTCGTCGGTAGTGGAACGGTAACGGAAGAAGCCGTTGTGGGTGAGGAGGCGCATGAGGCGGCGGAGGTGGTCGTGTTTGGCGGGAGGGAGGTGGAGGGCGGAAGCGAGGTGGGGGAGGGTGACGGGTTTTCCGGCGGCGGCGTGGATGATGTCGGGAATGTTGAGGCGGAGAGCGGAGGACAGGGCCATGGAGTTTGCGTAGTTGAAGGTGTGTTTGTAGATGTGAGCTTGTGCTTCGAACATTTCCGCCGTGGATGCGGCGGCGGCGTTCTTGTCTTTGTTGGCTACTTCCATTGAATTAGTTAGCTAGGAGAAATGTGAGCTAACTAACTTGCTAAGCTAGCTAGAATGAAAATGGAGTCTATATATAAACTTGTCAAGGAGTATATCGTAGTACCCTATACCTTCTCTCTACTGCTGTTAGTGATAGAATGGAAGGGATACCATAGAGTATATATATATATATACCGAGTACTCTCTCTATCCACCATAGATCTTCCCAAACACTATCCACAGGGTTAAACGTAATTCACTTTGTTTGTTTATTTTTACTACTCATTTCAAAAAATAATATAGTGTTGTCACCTCTAGTTTTGTAGAACTTTTCATGTAGTTTATTACTATATAGATTTTATATTAAAATTTTACCCCTACATTCAAATAAATTGAATTGAAAATAAAGTCGGTCAAGCCTCGAACCATTATTATCGATGTTAATTCAATGAAAGAACGATGCTTCAAATTGATTGTTTCTACTCCGACTAACCCCCGACAAACCCCTCACCCCGGCCCACCTCGAACCCATCACCCCACTCCTTCAATTTCATTCCCAAAATTTATTTGACTTTTGGGTCAAATTTTTTTTATTCAAAAGTCAAATAAGTTTTGGAAATAAAATTGAAGGAGTTGGGGTGATGGGTTCGGGGTGGGCCGGGGTGAGGAGTTTGTCGGAAGGGTTTGGGGATAAGAATCATCAATTTTACAATTGGAGCCCTGTAGGTACTCTAATTGGAGGTGTTGTCATATTATGACAACACCCTTGCTGTCAAAAGAAGGGGGCACCGTTATAATATATTTCTATTTCTTTAGTTTTTATATTAGTTGTGTTTTTGCATTTATAGTCTTACTCCTCCCTTCCCTAAATAAATTACACTTTACACTAAACTAAATAAAATCTTAAATTTTTTTAATTCATTTTATTTAAATATTTGTATTAAAATAAAAAATAAAATTATCATATTTAAAAAGTATATCAAAACTTTTATAAAATAAGATGTGAAATAAATATTTTATTTTACCAAACAGTTAATAAGAATACATGAATAAACAAAAGTACCCGTCATTTTTGAATAGTAATTATTAAAAGATATCGCCTCATATAAGAGTAAAACATATAGAAATCACTCTAAATATGACTAAAACATAGAGAAAATTACCAAAATAGGACTTTCATGTTTTTTTTCCCGAAATAGGACTTTGCATTGTGATAATGTGGCACTGTACATGTACTCATTACTATACTTTTTTAGTAATGCACATGACCATGTTTGGTAATGTAAGTCCCATTTTGGAAATAAAAACATAAAAGTCTTATTTTGGTATATTTTCAAAGTTTTAGTCCTACTTTGGTCTTTCTCCCTAAAACATATCATTATTTAACCTCACGATCAGAGTTCCATATTTTTATCGCAAAATGAGAGTGATGGTGTAAATTACTTGACCGGTCAAACTATACTAGACCAGATCTAGAATAGTTGGCTTGATTCGGTAAGATAAGAAAGGTAAAAAGCACAAAGATTGACCGGTAGGACTTTAGGTGGAACACCTGTAGCCCGAATTATATTAAAAGAGAGAATGCACGGTCACTTTTACAAGGGAGTTAAGAGAGAATGAATTCCCATCCCTACTTCGAGGGTTACAAGTGGTATATATACTAGCTAGGGGGGGGGGGGGGGGGGG